AAAATATACCGATCGAAATTCCTTTAATGATCACCATAAAATAGTTATTTCTCGAAATCCTGTGATGCTGAATATCGATCTATCACGTTTAGAACTATATTCACTAGACTTCAAAACTTAATATTGCGGTATACACTTCAGACATCAAAAACAGCTGATAACAACTAATAACTTTTAGTCATTAGTAAGACATTGGAGTATTCAGCTATTCAACCTACTCAAGTTCAATTGATACTGTAAGTGCAGTTAGGAATTTAGTGCGTGCCTAGTGTGTTAGATTTTAAGATAGGAACAATCGGTTTATTTAGAGTTGCTTGACAAAGCAATAAAATGTGTTCAGTGGTAGATTACGTGGATCAAACAGCACTTAAAATTAGCAATAAAAAGCATTATTTCTCTGGTAAATCCTTGTTACTGTTGTGGTGTCATATTTTATTTATGTATTCATTCAATCTGAGATACTGAGTCATTGTGCCGAATTCTACTGTAGTTACTACATTTTGCCTGACCGTTGTAAAACCTTCTAGATTGTGATTAATAATCGACTTTTTAACGAAACTTGTGGTAACCTATCTTGTTACGCATTTAATGGGCACAAGTGATGGGCATTAGATCATTTAATGACATCGACGTAAGCATCTCTAGAGCAATTGGTTAGTGGCTAGCATGATACCTAGAGCAATTGAACTACATATTTGAAACCTTCCATAAAACCTCTCCAGCTACCGACCGGTATCTCTAGCCCTAAATTAGTAAAGTGGATATTAACGCCGAATACACGGTAAAATACTGCTTACTCCTCAGCTGATTTTCAGCAACCGCTGCTGAAGACACAGCCAAATTGCAGAGACATAAAGGGTGAGGTTGTTAAGTGAAAATAATGTTGAAGAAAAGGAAACTATGGAAGCTAGCTTTCGCAGTTTCGTTTTCCTAATGGCTGTCAGTGAATACGATTTTCATTAACGACTAATTAGGAATAGTAAAACTGACGACCCAATTTAAGACCTACTTTGGTCAAGGAAATCTTTTCAAAATAATTTCTCTAAGACGAATACATTAATCTGTATAGAAGTTTACACACCTTAAGACAAGTACAAAACCAGCACCACTTACAAGTCAGCCAAACAAAGAAAAGACTCTGGCTATATAACCCGCTGGATCCCACTTTAACTAGGGATATATCAATGGATTCCCAAAAAGGCAAACGATACCCCAGGTATACCAACTTGTTTGAAAAACTACTAATTAGTTTCAGTTTCAGTTTCAGTTTGGGAAGGACAGGAGGCTCTATGGCCTATGTTAGTCCTGGCAATGGTGGTCTCTCAGTTGATCCAACTTTCTTTTGAAAGAGTCGACGGATGGAGCCTCAACCACGTGCTGAGGTAGTGAATTCCACTCGTTGATTATTCGATGGGAAAGTCGATAGTCAGCTGACAAGTAATTTGTTCTCGGCTTGTGAACTTTTTTGGAGTGTCCTCGTAAATTCTCTGTTTTGGAAGACAAGAAAAATGAGGGCATGTTAGGTGCAAATTTATCACTAAGCAATTTGTAGACTGTAATCAAGTCACCTCTAGTTCTGCGATAAGATAACGGGAAAAGGTTCAGCTTGGCCAGTCGAGATTCATACGGAAGCTTTGCTATTCCGGGAACCAGCTTAGTCGCCGTTCTCTGAACCTTTTCCAGAAGCTCACTGTCTTTTTTTAAGCAGGGGCTAGCCGCTTGTATGCAGTACTCAAGTTTAGGACGAACGAACACTGTATACAAAGTCAAAAACGTCTTAGCGTCGACATGACTAAAAGCCCTACGTATTGACCATAACGATCTAAAACTTTTGGCGACTATTGCACGGCAGTGTGCAGTAGTCTTTAAGTCTTGACTAACGATAACGCCTAAGTCATTATATGTCTGGACGACAGGTAGCTCAGTGTTATCCATCATGTATGTATTTGTGCCTTGATGACCGATATGCATCACAACACACTTGGAAGTATTTATCGGCAACTGCCAGGTTTGAGACCATTCAGATAACTTCTTCAGGTCATTTTGAAGTTCTAAGCTATCACTCTTACATCGTATCGCTTTCCATATCTTGACATCGTCAGCATATAGCAAGACCGATGATGATAGGAGACAAGGAAGGTCATTTACATACAAGAGGAATAGCACTGGCCCCAAAACTGTACCCTGGGGCACTCCACTAAGCACAGTTTCCCAGCTAGATAACTTTGAGTTCACCCGAACTCTTTGTTGACGCCCAACTACGAAGTCTTTTATCCACATCAATAAATTGCCTCCAATCCCGACTTTTCTTAACTTATATAACAGCCGGTTGTGCGGAACTTTATCAAAAGCTTTACTGAAATCAATGAAGGCGACGTCTACAGGTAGCTTTTGGTCCTTAAGAGCGCACCAGCTTTCACGAGCCACTAATAAGTTAGTGAGACAAGAATAACCTATTCTGAAGCCGTGCTGCTTCTCCGAGAGGATCCGGTTTTTATCGAGATACTTAAACAGCTCTTCCCTAATAATCTTTTCTAATATTTTAACAACCACACTAGTTAGGCTAACGGGGCGGTAGTTTTCAGGTTTGTGTTTCGTACCTGTTTTGAAGACAGGACTTACTATGGCGTTTTTCCAATCTTTCGGTAAGCGACCCTGCGTAACGGATAGGTTAAAGCATGTACTTAAAGGGCTTGCAACGAAGTTAGATAATTCCTTTAGTAGCCTAGGATGTAATTCATCGGGCCCCGTGGATTTACCTATATCAAGCTTATTTAGCAGACCAAAGACATCGAGTTTTTTAATGGTCACGCTATCCAGTTTATGTGTGGGGGGATCTGTATACGCTGACGAGAAGGGCGCTTCTATGGTATACACGTTGCTAAAGTAGTTCGAGAACGCTTGAGCCTTACCAAAGTCGTCCTCCACTAATGATGAAGCAGTACTGTCTCCCCATAGAGCAGGAATATTTCCTTTTCTCCTTGTCCTTTGGTTTATATAGGAATACAAGCGTTTAGGACATTCTATGGATTCCTTTACAAGTTTTTCTTCGTACAATTTTCTAGACTTACGGAGGGTCGAGGCACAAGTGTTCCGAGCCTTTCGATACTGAGATTTTGCCTCATCAGTCCCCAGTAACCTAAATATATCCCACATCTTCCTTTTCTTACGGAGAAGAATACGGACCTCCCTAGTGAACCATGGTGGAGAGTTTTTCGGTCCCTTTGGTATAGTCCAAGGGATGTGAGGTGTGGTAACTTTTAAGTATGAATTTCGAAATGCGTCCCAGGCCGTTTCAATGGAGGACTCTGGGTCTATTGTCCAATCTATTAACGATGCTGAGTGCATGATGGCTGGTATGTTTGCTTTCCAGACGTTGGGTCTGGACTGGACTGATGCGTCCTCATGACTGACAGTTATATGGAAGTCGAAAGTTAAAACTGCGTGGTCACTTTTACCTAAGGGTGGCATATGTTGGAGGTTCGCAACATCATCCTCATAGTGAGTCAGTATAAGATCTAATAAGGATGATTCAGTGTCCGGATCGAACCTTGTCGCTTCTTTCACATGTTGTACTAGAGCACATGTGATAATCCCATCAACTAGTTCCTGCTCGAAAGAATTCTCCGACGATTTAATTCGCAGATTTTCCCAGTCTACCATAGGTGCGTCAAAGTCCCCTAGGATTAGACTTTTCAACGAAACTTGTGGTAACCTATCTTGTTACGCATTTAATGGGCACAAGTGATGGGCATTAGATCATTTAATGACATCGACGTAAGCATCTCTAGAGCAATTGGTTAGTGGCTAGCATGATACCTAGAGCAATTGAACTACATATTTGAAACCTTCCATAAAACCTCTCCAGCTACCGACCGGTATCTCTAGCCCTAAATTAGTAAAGTGGATATTAACGCCGAATACACGGTAAAATACTGCTTACTCCTCAGCTGATTTTCAGCAACCGCTGCTGAAGACACAGCCAAATTGCAGAGACATAAAGGGTGAGGTTGTTAAGTGAAAATAATGTTGAAGAAAAGGAAACTATGGAAGCTAGCTTTCGCAGTTTCGTTTTCCTAATGGCTGTCAGTGAATACGATTTTCATTAACGACTAATTAGGAATAGTAAAACTGACGACCCAATTTAAGACCTACTTTGGTCAAGGAAATCTTTTCAAAATAATTTCTCTAAGACGAATACATTAATCTGTATAGAAGTTTACACACCTTAAGACAAGTACAAAACCAGCACCACTTACAAGTCAGCCAAACAAAGAAAAGACTCTGGCTATATAACCCGCTGGATCCCACTTTAACTAGGGATATATCAATGGATTCCCAAAAAGGCAAACGATACCCCAGGTATACCAACTTGTTTGAAAAACTACTAATTAGTAGTTCATTAATGAGCTAGGATATATCTTGTGCTTAAGTTCATGTTTCGATCATGGCAAATTGAAAAATACTTGTGCGAATTATCGTAAAAATGATTTTATACATACCCAGCAGCTGAGTTACTGAGATCCGAACGTTCACACAAACTAAGAAACACCACATATATTCCCAAGGCAACGCTCCTAGGGTATCGGCCACTGATGGGGGTTGCGAGCACCTGAAGGTCAAACTGTCGCAAAATGATTGGTGCGTCACATCGACAATTGATGGAAATTTTCAAAAGCGGTCAAATCAAGACATTTTTAGATGTGAATTGAGTTCAGCCACACTATGTCTGATAACGTTCATTCTTCAAGTAACGAAGACGATTCCATCGTGATGATGCATGATATAGGACGAATCTTCAATGATATTATGTTATCTCGAAGATTTAGAAGTTGGAACAATTTTGAGACCTGTTTGAAAGAAGTACATAAGGTAGTATGACCTCTGTGGTTAATAATTATTTTTTTTAGTATACGCATACTAAATATGTTACGTCAGTATGCAAAAAGAACAGTGATGATCCAACTCTGAAGTACTTTTTCGTGAGATATGCCTGTACATATGGACGTAAACGCAGTTCGTCAGAGTCAGATGCTCGCGTTCAGGATGTAGATAATGATAGTAATAATCATTCGTCTGAAGAGCATACAACTTCTAACTCGTCAACACAACCTAGGCAAAGGAGACGACGTCGGCCATCTACGTATGCCTTACTTCAAATGAATTTATCCTTCAGGTCGAAATATTGCCATTGTCAATCAGGATTTTGGGTCCGGGCAGTAAATGGTGAGCTGAAAGTCACCTCTGTTAAAACAGTGCGCAACCGTCCTTGCACAAAAGGATATATTTCTGTCGATCCATCGAAACGACAGTTGACTTCAAGTGAACGCTTATATTTAAGAACGTTTCTACTGAGTAATACACTAACTCGTAGCTTACGGTATCTGGTTTCTTGGAAGTTCAATAAACAGCTTACCAAGGACAATATATATCGTCAGAATGCGTTCACAGTTGTACCCAGGTTGTTGAACTCACATTGTAATTAATTGAGTTTAGATACTAAAAATATCAATGACATTTTACAGCGCGTTCAAGCAAATACTGAAGTTAAAGTATTCAATGAGAATGGGAACATGTTTATGATTTTCTTCAGCCGCAGAGAGCAAATAGCTGTTTACCACGCGTTCCCGGAGGTAATATGTATTGATTCGACTTATCAGACCAATAAAGTCGGGTAAGTGACGATTAGTAATAAATTTATCTGAAAGTTTTCCACTATTCCAGCTAGTGGTGGCTGATAGTTTTGGGCAAGGGCACACTGTTATGTATGCTCTTTGCAGTCAAGAACGACGCGAAGATGTCGAAAAACTATTGGAATGTTTTAAAGAGATAATGTGCGGTACTTATGCTACACGCACTTTCATTATGGATTCGGCAGCGACCGAAATTTCGGCTGTGCAGTCTACGCACAGTCATTCTAACATAATACTTTGTTCATTCCACGTCCTGATAGCGTTTTTCAGGAAGGTATGTGTTAGCTGTACAAATTATTTTCTGTAGTTCCAAAATCCTGATGTGCGCAAATGCTTGGAACACCTTGTGAAGACTAGACGGTCTGATATGTGAGCTTCGCTTTTCATAGCGCATTATATTCAGATATACTCGAAAGTACGAACATCTAAGGACGCATTTCTCACGGGCGTATGATTACATAAAAGATTACTGGATTGCCAGGAAGTCAATGTGGGCTCGCTGTTACCGGCGACATGTATTAAGCCTGGGCAACCACACAAACAACAATGTCGAAAGTGCTCATAAACACCTAAAAGAATGTCTCAGAAGAGGTGATTCCCTGCTGTTGACGTTCTGGGAAATTCGAGTAAAACAGACATTGACCTACGTTTGCGTCCTTATGACGCTGTGAAGGATCTTCAACGTTTTCCAATTCTTCAGGTAAGAAATATAGTTAAATGTATCATTAATTCCAGGTTCCAATGTCATTTCGAACTCTTCTAAATGAGTTCACATCTTTTGCAGCTAAAATTGTAGCTGTAAATTATAAACGTGTTCGGACAATGAGACACGAATTTATAGAAGGAGAATACATCCGGTGCTACGACAAGGGTATGATGTATGTTGTTGATACTTCACGTGCACGATGTGCTTGTGAGCGTTTCAATGACTACATGCTGCCCTGTGGTCATATTTTGTATGCACATTCTAAAGATCTGATTCGTGGAGGTATGTGTATTCCTTTATCTCTATAAGTTTTGTAGACTTATTTCGACATAGCAACCGGTGGACAAGAAAATACATGATAGACCTGGTTCTTCGTGCGCTGGACAACATCTCAATCTCTACAGGGAGTGATGATCTGCCAGAGAAGTTCACTAGCAACTACCACTCAACCCATGCTCTTAGTGAACCTTTGGCAAGTAAACTCATCCGTTCATGCCTCGAAGCATCGGAAGACATGCGCACAAGTGATGAGTTCAATCGGTGCTAATGATAAAGCTACAACGTCAGAATCCATTGTTAATACAGACCATAGCTATGCTTCTTGATAACAAGAAGTTCTAACATTGTAATCTTTTTACTTTTACATAAATTCATTTATATGGCCATTGACTTATTCTTATAGCTTAACGGCAGGGAGTGTATTGTGCAGTCCTATGTGGCTGTGAGACAGGGATGTTGTTTCGCGTTCTTGTGTAATAATTACCAGTTTGGCGCACACGCGATTAGTCATACACACCGTTTACCAAATACTGCTGCCTTGAACATTGTGTAGTTCGAATTTCGACCTGTCACGATAGATAAGAATTGCCGTAATTAAAAGACTGGTGCGTTATAAATGAAAACGTTTATTAAAGTTTGAATCTAGCATAAATGACCCATCAATAAATAACTTCTATTTCTCAGGATTTGTTCCCGTTAGGTTTGTGAAGCTAGCTGGAAATAAGATAGACAGGAAAGTTATTTCAGTATAAATGTTTACCAGAAACTAGTATAAAAACGGAAACCAGTATTCAATTACAGATCGAAAGTGCATTTAGCACACCCTTCCTTTGGATAGTCAATCACGCTTATTTCCTTTATCTCTTGCGTTGCTTAGGAAAGTCCGGGTCACAACATACACGGATTGTATTATTTAGTTCTTTGGAAAGGTTGCACTTCGGAAACTTAGATGATGAACATATATGAAGACTACTGTGTGAATTTACGTTGAATCGTCCTGTGTAACCTGCAATTCTTGCTGCATATTCTATTGTAGTCCCACGTAAGTTATGAGTAATTGTCATTTACGGCATTAGCACGTAAGCTAGACAGGCCTTGGTTGATTTCCGAAGATCATCACAGGATCTCACACAATCTGGTCACCTTAGATGAAGATATCTTGACTATCGAATCGTACTTTTCAGTGTTTCTCGTGACAGCTTTATATCAGTACTTATTTCTGCTATTAGGTATTTTTGCAATAATACCGACAGCCAAAACATTGTAGCTCCCCAGACAACCCAAAAAGGGGTAAATGCTTTGGTAGCGAAAGGGGAAAACGCATCAGAATGTCGCCTTTTTCGCCTGTCCGGGGGAAATAATGTGGATTTCCCCTTTTTTCGCAGTTTTGTCGATAAATTACTCACTTTTCGCCTAAATATCCGCAGAATTGTCTACTTTTCGCCTAAATACACACAGAAATCCCTATTTTCCATCCATTGGCACAACCCCAAAGGTCTCCTATGTTCGCCTTTATTTTCAACAACTGACCAAAATAAATCTGCAATGCAGTAGAAAACCGGCATATTTTTGAAAAATTTTATTTAAAAGGTAAGGCGTATTATTGTACTACACTAGACCAGAAGCTTAAACATCGATTGTTTTGCATATCCAATGCAATTGCTAATTCATTGTTATTTGAAATTATCTGCAAAAGAAGGAACACGTGATGTATTATTTATAAGGAATGTGCATTTAATCAAAAATTCATTGGCACTCAAACACACATTCTCAACACTTCTACAGTTTCCCATGTAAGTAAAAAAGTAAGCTGTTTGAAAAATAATATTTATTGAAATGTAGGTAGAACATCAAAACAATTGCACGGCTATTGAGAATTGAGGTAGTCGTCCCGTGAATTCTGAATTTAAAAAAAGAAAAAAGTCACAACCATATCTCAATGACATGCTTTGGTACAGCCAAATAAATTTGTACCACTGGGTAGCAAAACATGAGACAAACAAAACTAATGTGTACAACTATTATCCGATATCATAGTCAGACTAGGGATTCCTAAATACACATAAATAAATGAAACTTTATTGTACAATCCTCTTCTATTTGATTGGTCGACGCATTTTTCACCCGCCCGGTCATACTACATAGACTATCTTAGTACTGATCGGTCCTGAAAGTTGGCCTTTGTTGTTGAATTGTTTCCTTGAATTAGTTTTTAAACCTAGGCCGATGACTATTCATTATAAAAGCGTTTAGTTATTCATAATAATTCGTATATAGACATCCTAAGAAGCCAAGATAGTTTCCTGAATTTATTCGACATCGGATGCGCTATTCTGATTTGAACATAACTGTATGGTGTTCCTTGGTTTTCAACCATCCTCGAGCTAATTACTGTTAGTAGTAAGACTATTTTCAAATACACATTAAAATTTGAATGAACAGTTACGCCATATGTGGCTTGAAGTAGAATGAATCAACTGTACAAAAAAAGGAACTGACAATGAATTGATTTGATATCAACGATAAAAGTGAACAAAGTTTCACAACATTAAAAAGAAGAATATATTTGTAAAATCTCAGCGAATGAATTTTAAGTAAATCCAACGTTTCGCTGAAACTATTCGTTTAAATTTAGACAAAAGTTTCACAATATTGGCTTTTCGAACGGGAAGTTTAGTACTAACGTGATTTGCATTTATCAAACTTTTGCTGTGTTCTTACGCAACAAAAGTACTATTTCAGTTCTAAAGAATCTATTCTGAGCTATACGTTCGGTAGATTACTATCTTTTTTTTTAGTTTCACCATATTTAATAGTTACCTGTGGTTGTGCCTCAGCTTACTATTCGGTTTGTTTTTGTTTTTCATGTATAGACTAGTTTCAGTTTATAACACTCGTTTTATCCATTTTTGTCCGTTTTCAGTGTTTTTTAAAGGTCTTAGGCTCTTGCAAGCATCTATAACATAGTTTGCTTCAACATAGTCATGAAAAACTCATGCAAACGTCCGGGATGCCGTTTTGCTGTTGCAACTGACATGCAGTGCGACAACTGCAAAGTTTGGTTCCACGAAGCATGCACAGATCTGACATCAACTGCTTACAACAGACTCAGCAAGTCAGACCGAAAATGGGTATGTGTCACGTGCAGCACGGATGCTGTAGTCTTACTGATTAACATCATTGTCCTACTGACAGGTCTTCAGAACAAGTTGTCAGTTAACTTGGACAACGATAGTAAAAAAAACCGGTAGACAAACAAGAGCGTGCGACGGATACAAAAACAGGAATGTCGATAGTATACCATCGATGGAGCATCCATCAACACTAATGATGACGTGTCGAGGCTGAGCACCATCATTACGTCGAAGGTATTAGACTCCCTAAGCAAACTCGGGTCTCCCAGCTCAGGGTCCCTGAACACAACAGTGGTTCCCAAAAACCCTGTAGGTGATTCGACCCACGTTAAGAGAGCCCAAAAGAACCAGGCATCACCGCCTAAGCCGAGCAACTCAAGTGTTGCTGTACGGAAATTAACTGGTGATTTGGTCGCACAGTCTACTCCCAAGACTGTTCGTCCGGTCAAAAAAGAGCCCAAGCCTCATAAACGCACACTGACCTCCAAACAGCAAGTCATTAAACATGAATCCGCCGTGAAACCTGGTAAATTAACAACAGTTCGTGACGACTCTCTCATTATCATGAACCTCGTTGATAATCCTGACCTTCCTCTCAGTCTGCAGGACAAAAACGACAGGATGTTCTGGGGTGAATTGAACAAGAAGCTCGAACTTCCTAGAATAGAGCCTTCGATGGTCACCCGGCTCTCTAGAGGAAAAGACTCTAAGCATCTAAATCACCCAAGGCTTCTCCGATTAACACTTAAGAATGCTACCGATGTAGAGGACGTCTTACTAGCAAGTCACTTGCTGAAATCAGATGGTAACGTAAGAATATTGCCCGATATACCGTTCTCTGAGCGCAATATCATACGAAACATCCCTAAAGAATCTCGTGAGTTTTTCCGCGGAAGAAACATAATTGTGCAAGGTATATCGGAGAATGCAGACCCTACTCAATCAAATTCTGACATCAGGGAATGGAAATTCATCAAACAGTCCTTGAGGCTCAAACACACACTGACTCAGCATGTGACGAGATTAGCCAAGAAGGACGGTGATCTTAGACCCCGTCTAATGAAGATAACCTTCCCATCTTCCCACATGGCGGCTGCAGTTCTGGAAGCATTTCGTGCCAACAGACGTCGATTGCCACCTGGAATCCACATGCACCCGGATAGGCCATATGAAGCCAGGACCAAGCACAAAGGCAAGTTGGAGCTGACCATTCCACTTGTGGATTGTCTAAACGATAAAAAAACGTGTAAAGGACAGGGCCTACCACCTCGGCCAACCTCACATACGTGGGCTACCTGTCCATTCACATAAGGCTCATACAGAAAAACAGGACGAAGCTCAGGCGTTCCAAATTGAAAGCATAAACTGCTTATATATGAACGCCTCGAGTCTACCAAACAAACTGGATGAATTACGTGAACTTTGCAACGCTAATAAAGCCCACCTGATAGGAATATCTGAAACCTGGATATCTTCTCAGTTCTCGGACCAAGAGTTAGCATTACCAGGGATGACTTTGTTCCGCAACGACAGAAAAACAGGAATTGGGGGCGGAGTAGCCATATACATAAGCTCTTGCTTGGAGGTGCACCAAGTTCACAACCTCGAGTTTAACAATCTTGAGGAATCCATATGGTGCTGTGTAAGATTGTCTAGCACTTCGAGGTGTCTAGTCGGTGTCATTTACAGGAAGCCAACTGCTGACATCGAGTACGATAGTCGTATGCTGGATGGACTATCCAGCTCTACCCGTCTCGGTTTCACACACATCCTGATTCTAGGGGACTTTAATCTCTCTAGAGTCAACTTCGCGGAACACACGTATACTGGAGGCGACAACTCAATTGAAGCTCGGTTCTTCAACCTCATCGATGACTTGGGCTTATATGAAAATGTGAGGTCGGCAACTCGTTGGAGAAACAGTCAGATACCATCGCGGTTAGATTGTGTATTCACAAACGAAGAATTCCTAGTTGACAACCTCTCAATCCTGGCTCCTCTGAGAAATAGCGATCATGCCGTCATGGATTACAGTTTTGTCATAAAAACTAAGCTACGGTATCCCAACAATAATTTGCGTTGGAATTTTAAACGGCTGAATGTGCCAGCTCTACATGACTATCTACAACAGGTGGTTTGGGATGTGCACCCCCAACTCGATGTGGACGGTCATTGATACTTCTTACTGCACACGCTCTTATGTGCTACAAACCATTCAGTTACTCAAACGGTTCTCAAAAGCTGTAAGCC